AATCTGATTATCTCTGGATTGTCGAAATACTGATACTTTTTTTTGATATGTGGAGCAACGCTATTAAGAGAGAACTTTGTTAATTTTAGGGAAATTTCAGGTATGTTCAGAGAGTTAACACGGTAGAAGGTTGACTACCTCTTCCTCGCAGCTATCACTTAGTACACAATTCTGGTTAATTTCGCTGTATACGTTCTCATTTCTCCGCGTTTTTTAAATGATTTATGAATGCTAAACTTGTAAACTTTTTGTTAAATTCAAGTTAAAATGTTTGATTACCAGAGCCCCTTCGGCCGCCAATTTAAAGTCTTTTAATCTTTAAAATTGGCGTTTCCACTTCCCGGGACGAGGACCCAGGGGTTGGATTTGTGGGAAGCGTGTGTTCGGGTTGTTTCATTGTGTCGAATTACACAGAACGAGGCGCTTGACGTGTAAGTGCGTGACATCTGGAAGGATCCTTATCAAACTTCTTTATTAAACCTTTATGATCTTCACTATTTAATAATTCAAAACTTTTCCCAGCCTAAAGTAAANGTCTAGATTTGTTATTTAAATTTACAAATAAGCAAGTTTTATACAACTAATCATTTTATTTTAAAATTTAAACTAAAGTTATACACACAATAATATATACAGTTGAACCTGTCTAATTTGAATCTCATGGAAACAAGAAAAAAAAAGAAGATACACAAGTTTTGAGATATAGAAATTCCTATACAGTAATCACTAATAGATTAGTTTGGAGTTTGGTATAGTATTAATACAATAGCAATTACAGTAAATACCTGTCTTATGTATAAATAAAACATTTTTGAAATACTTTAAAAATTGATTTTCTTTCACCAATAAGACAAACCAAACTCATAACCAATCAGAGAAAAGCAGCATTAATTGCAGCTATGTACTGTATTGCAAGAGATGTTTCTCAACTACAGTTTATGCTGTCAAAATGTAGCTTTGACATCTATCTATAAAAAAAAAAAGACAGACAAAAATTTGTTAAGTCTATAACTGCCCTGTTGCTAATCTTTTCTCCATAATCTATCAAGGAATTACAGCAACAGCAACATTTAGTAGATTATATGGATGAATAATAAGAGATCTAATCAGAGAAGAATATTAACAAAAAAAAAAAAAGGCAGAGTGGATTCAGAACAGGAAAATCATGCATGGACAATATTTTCTGCATAAAACATTATGAAGAAAAAATTAGCAACAGGACAGGAAACTCATTTATTGTTTATAGTGTTTATAGACTTAACAAAGGTATATGATACTGTCCCAACATCAAAACTATGGAAGACATTAAAAGAGATAAATATTAATAACACACTTATTAAATCAGTTAAAGAATTATATAGAGAATTCATAACAAAAATAAAAATTAGAAGAAATTATCAGAAGGATTTATGGTATCAAAAGGACTAAGACAGGGATGTTGTATCTTACCAACTTTATTTAAAATCTACATAGAAGGAGTATCAAAAATATGAAAAAAGAAATGTTGTAATATGGGAATAGATATTAATGGCAAGCGGATGTTTACATTTCAATTTGCAGATGATCAGGTAGTAATGGCAGAAGATAAGGATGATCTGGAATACATGACAAGAAAAATAAAAGAGGGATATTTTAAAGGAGGTTTATATATAAACATGATTAAAACAAAATATTTATGCATAAGAGGGGCTAAAACAGACATGGAACTGGAAGAAGAAAAAAAAATTGAGGGATGTGAACATTACAATTATCTTGGAATACATATTAATCATGGAAGAGATGCATTAGAAATTAATACAAAATTAGTACAAGGTAAGAGATCAGTTAAAAGATTAAATAGAATATGGTTGAGTGAAGAAATAACTAGATCAAGAAAAAAAAGAATATATAATGCTATTGTTAAAAGCATTCTATTATATGGAGTGGAGGCATGGAGAATGACAGGAAGAAAAGAGAAAAGTAACAACAGTTGAAATGGATGCATTGAGAAGATCATGCAGAATGTTGAAAAGAGAAAGAATAACTGATAAGAAGATCAAAGACCTAATGGGATTGAAGGAGATGTTTTCTCTGTATTTCTTCCAAAACCAACTTATTTGGTTTGGACATGAGTGATGAGAGACTCCCGAAAATGTCAATGGAATACATTCCACAAAAAAAAGAGAGGAAGACCCAGGCAAACTTGGTATGATGGAGTAAAGTTAGCATGTAGTGAAAACAGGATTAAAGAGGAATGGTGTACAAATAGAGAGAGATGGAGAGGGTTCCTGAAGATCAGAAGGCGATGTCAGATGCCATAAACTAAATATAGATAGAAATTGTAGCTGCCAAGCTTTGAATTTATAATTGACACTTCAGTCCATAATTTGGATTATAGAGATTATGGGAAAAAATTATTCTAGTTAAACATGAAAAATATATTAAATTTAGGCTACAAATGCAGAGGAAAAAATGAATTTCAAGATAAAGAGGTTTTCAATAGCCAGGTTCAACAATATATATATATAGACTTTTACATTTGAAAATAAAATGTTTCATTTAAAACAATAGATATAGCATGTGTTAGAGCAGCATCTCTGGAATTTCGTGTTTATGGACTAGTACCTTTGTGAAATTAAATAAAAATACTTATAAACAGACAAGTACTGGTCCATGGACCACAGTTTCACATCTGTATTAGAGAACACAGATGTGAAGTTCAATTGTTCACAGGCAAATGGTATTGGCATCAAGTAACCACTAAACTTTGTTTAAAAAATTTTTTTTAATGAACTGTCTATTAGTGTCTCTGGTCTGTTAAAATAGTTTGTTAGTGAATAGTTAAAATAAAAATAACAAAAAGGTGTTAACACTCTGTCCCCACTTTATCATTAAATAATATACAATTAATTTTGATACTTTTATAATATGATAATACCAAAATCATAAATAACATCACAGAGAAATTCTAACTACTCACCACACCTCTATAACAATAACATACACTGAACCAATTTATGGTGTGGTACGATCAACAACGAAAAACCAAACGTTTTCAAACCCTTCTGGGCTCTTCATCAGGTTCCCACAGTTTTAGCTCTTAAATTCGATTAACGAATGCCGTTCAAATAACTTCGTTCTTGATTTCGAATCATTCTTTTAAAATTATATGCCGCGCATGCGTGACGAGTCTGCCTACTCAGATATAACGGGCGACTAAAGCGTGTTGTGAATCAACTCTTGCCAGGCCATCGACAAAAGCATCTCCTCTTTAAAATTTATGCACATAGTTTCGATAGAGGCTTTAAAGATGTGCATCACCTCTAACCATTTGAGATGATCATTGGGAGGCGCACAGAGGAGGAGATTGGCCCTAGTAAAGTCGGCAAATATATCCAGGTCTGTTACGTATGTTGCGAGGGCCGTGTTGATTCTCCTGTGACGAATATCCACCTGATGTTCCTGCATTCTGATGCCTATGGATCTTTTAGTAGAGCCTATATATACTAAATCCCTATTGAATCTATTATCTCTCGAAGGGACACTATAGACTCCAGGACTTCTGCTGGGGTTAGAAGGGTCCTTCCCATTATTTAAGATATTAAAAATAGTGAGATACCTCCTGTAAGCAATACGTATTTGGCACTTCCTGGCGATCTTGGCGTATATAAATCTTATGTATGGGTTATAGGTGACGGGGATCCGTTCTATGCCTTCCGGTTGGTTATCATTGTGTTTGTCCACCAGCCGTGCATTATCTGCATATATCCGGCTGTAATGCTGTATCATCTTATGTATAACTTTGCGATACCCATATTCTGCGGCTACTTGATGTATAGACACTAGCTCCCTATCACAAGCATGGATGTTAGAAGAATGTGTGAAGGCTCTTCTGATTAAAGCTTTAAATGCTGCAGTCTTGTAGGGAACCGGATTGCATGATCCCACCGGGATGTACAACAACATAGATCCTAGTTTATGATACACTACAGTGCTGATGCCATCATTTTCTAACCTAATATTTATATCTAGAAAATGGACGTCGGTGGGGTCAGATTGTTCTAATTCTAGTGTCAACCCGTACGGGTTAAGTAATTACTAAATGCAGAAGAATACTATTCTTTTGCATTTTAGATTCATTACAGAAAAATGTATAGAATATTAAAACTTTAATACTTCCTATTCTAAAATTTCCTCTCTTTTAAAGAATAATTTTTTAGAAAAGTTTTAAGGCTGCTACACAAGTAATTTGATAATTTATTTGTTCTGTGTTTTTTGTGGAGTATGTCCTGAAAAATAAATCATAATTATCGAAAGTCAGTGAGTTTTGTTGTAGAATGTAATTGTATTACCAGAAATGTAACAAATGAAACATTTATCATTATATCTCTACCTGCATTACTATAATCAATTAATAAACTGCAAATACCTTTAAAATGCAGTCTATTTTAAAAACTTTTGGGCCAAATTAACAGACTTCTTCAGGATCGAACTAACAGAATTTAAATTTGTCAAACGGAAATTTCAAAATGTACATTCTACAATCTTCTCAGATTCAATTATAAAGAAAAAATAGACTTGCGGAATTGAATCTGAGAAGATTGTAGAATGTACATTTTGAAATTTCCATTTGGCAAATTTAAATTCTGTTAGTTTGATCCTGAAGAAGTCTGTTAATTTGGCCGAAAACATTCAATAAGTTTTTAAAGTATACTGCATTTTAAAGGTATTTGGAGTTTATTAAATGAAACATTTATCAAACTGTGGTCCATGGTCTCTTTTGGAGCCCAAAAATTACTCGTGAAATATGTCAGAGATGTCACGTGACTGAATGACACCAAAGAAGGGTCAAGTACATTTTGTATGCATCCACTGTCCAACACGTTACTCCACAACAGAAACAAGCATAAGCAATGGTGGCCTAAACAGTGTAGAGCCAGTAAATAGTTTTAAAAAAGTTGAGAAAGAGGTACTATGCAGCTTCTATAGCACTACCTTAAATTATATTTAAATATGAAATAATTTCTTCGAATTTATCTAACCTGATGCGTAATATCTGGTCTACATCTGGAAGGATCCTTATCAAACTTCTTTATTAAACCTTTATGATCTTCACTATTTAATAATTCAAAACTTTTCCCAGCCTAAAGTAAAAAGACAAATATATAATTTAAACAACTTCAAATATTTCTTTAACAAAAGAAAAACAATTTTCATTGATCTGCTCATTCATAATCAACAATGACATTCAAAGTTAATTTCATCATAAACAAATAGATTTAAACAACTTACTTTTACTGTTTCTAAATTTGCTTGTTCTAATATAATTATCAAACGTTTTTCTTGATTTCGTAAATGAGGTGGAATCGAAGATTTCGTCGAAATCTCAGCTTCTTCCTCAGTTTCCAACCCACGCTTCGTAGCCATGTGTGCGCTTACATTTAAATTTCAGTGTTGCCAGATAGTTAAAGTAAATTATTACAAAAATTATGTATTTAATTAAAACTAATTAAAATTTTAAAATACATAATTATAATCTAAATAATAAATTTTAGTTTTTTGAATAATAAATTATATTTTTTATTATTTTCGATAAAGTATAGGGCGCTAATAGTATTTTCATCGACATCTTCCATAATTTAATCCCGTTGTTTTATAATGTTCCTAAAAATATAACATTTTGTAATAATTTATATTAAAAAGCACTTTTATATGGTAAAAAATTTTTAAAAAACACTACTTTATGGTAAAATTACATAACAGATAATCATTTCTAACTGAAAACTAAATACAGTAATGTACAATTCAAAAAGGACTAAATATGGCGACCTTCTGATATGCCACATGCTCCATTTATATATTATGAATTCAGTTTTCTTATTTATAATTCATTTAGTGACAGAGTACATCTATAAGATTGACTGAAAAATTTTAAATATTATTAAGCATCATGAGCTTAACAATAAATAACACAGAGAGTAAGTTACGAAGTATCATAAGGACAAAATATGGCTTCCAATACTACCTTCTTGTGAGTTGCGCTTTTACATTACAATATTGATAACTTTTTTTTTTTAAAACTCTCCGCCCTGTGGGCACTAAGAGGGCCTTTTTTTGCAATCCTATTATGGGTTCGGCCAGGCCCACAATGGGGCTGCCAGGTGGTGAGGGACGGGGCCCGACATATCCGAACGGACCACCCCCCGAAAAGTTCTTGGGGATTTTTCGACGCGTTCGGATTCGAACCCGGGCTCCCCCAGAGCGGTAGGCTGCCACCTTGACCGCTCGGCCATCCGACCATATTGGAACTTTCGGAGATAATACTTGTAATAGAAATGGTATTAGACTCATTGATTTTGTTGTTTATAATAATCTTAAATTAATAAATACGTTTTATAATCATAAAAATATACATAGATATACTTTGCAACGACAGCAGTCAAAATCAATCATTAATTATTTTATTGCTAATGAAAAAAATGTCAAAATTATTCTAGATATCAGATCATACAGAGGATTTGAAGTGGGCTTTGATCACTTCCTAACCCAAGCAAAATTAAAAATCCCATCAAAGTGGCTAAAAAAGTAACTAAATGTTAGTATCAAATGGTTATATACTAGAAGAATTGAACAACATATGAAGAGAATTCCAGAAGACAGAGATATAGAAAATGAATGGGAAAATATCAAAACAATAATAAAGGTAGCAACCGATGAGTCTCTGGACACAGTAAAAGCAGTGGCGTAGCATAGTGGAGGCGGCCCACCTCGGGCGGCACTTTTTAGGTGGCGGCAAAATTTCACAATAAATAATATCTTGTAAGAATTTGAGCCATTTATTTCATATTTTCGTCAACCTGCGATTCGGACCGATTGAAATAAACACGAAATAGTGTTATTCATATACACCTCCAATATCCAATAGAGCTAGGTCATCTAGGTCACTTACGTTACTCCTACCCAAGTCTCCCTAGTCGCTAACTATAACTGATTTAGAACCGCACTGCACATTATTCTTCGCATTGCAGAATGACATACGCATGCGTCAGGAACTTCTGTTCGAACAAACCTCACCTGCCGTCCGGGTCGGCGATTTTAAAAAGGTGGCAACACTAGCGCGGAATTTTTCATTAGTTATTCTGTGACGAAAGCCCATAACACTTAAAAGGCATAAAGCTGCGCACCTGCTGGATATACATAATACAGATATGACCGTTTATTACATAAATATACAAGTGTTATCACACGATGCTTTTGCTGAACTGTGGCTTTAACTCAAACTGTGTTAGTCCTAAAACACCAGTCCTAACAAACAGTGCTAACACAGAAAACCACAGCTCTAACGTGAAAATCTGATTATCTCTGGATTGTCGAAATACTGATACTTTTTTTTGATATGTGGAGCAACGCTATTAAGAGAGAACTTTGTTAATTTTAGGGAAATTTCAGGTATGTTCAGAGAGTTAACACGGTAGAAGGTTGACTACCTCTTCCTCGCAGCTATCACTTAGTACACAATTCTGGTTAATTTCGCTGTATACGTTCTCATTTCTCCGCGTTTTTTAAATGATTTATGAATGCTAAACTTGTAAACTTTTTGTTAAATTCAAGTTAAAATGTTTGATTACCAGAGCCCCTTCGGCCGCCAATTTAAAGTCTTTTAATCTTTAAAATTGGCGTTTCCACTTCCCGGGACGAGGACCCAGGGGTTGGATTTGTGGGAAGCGTGTGTTCGGGTTGTTTCATTGTGTCGAATTACACAGAACGAGGCGCTTGACGTGTAAGTGCGTGAGTGCGAGAATTCGAGTAAAGGTTAAACGGTGTATATCTTCGTGTACAGTAGTGTTATGTTCGTGCGTGTGTATGTGTGTGATCGAAGAACATCTTCGGCATTCCTATAAACAGAAAACAGTAAATTACGATACGAGAATAAGATGTGTTAAGAAATGAAACGAAAGTGACAGCTCGGACGAGCTGCCACTTTCGACATCCTCCACAGCAAGGTCTGTGGCCGGATGACCCCCGAAGACCTCGGCCAAGCGCACTGGACCCAGGGTGTAGGGTCACATCATCCCGACTCCGGGAGGATGCCACGCCACGCGCACTTGGCGAAGGTCTTCTTCACCCGCTGCCTGTCGCTCCTCCAACGGCACGGAACGACAGACTCGTTCCGCGTCGTCCGAGGAACCCTCTCCCTCCGGCGCCACCGCCTGCCTCCGCCGGAACCGCCTCCAACAACGCACCAACGTCTTCATCCTGTAAAAAAGAAAATTTGCAATTAGTCCAGTGAAAACAAAAGCTTAAATTAATGCTTAAATTCTTCCGAGTAAAAGCAAACTGCTCACCGCAGCCGCCTTTTTAAATCTAAAAGATTCGAATCCGAAGCGCAAACGGTCGACCATCGAACGATGTGCCGAGATGTCTTCTGGGACCGATTCTCCAAGTAATATTAAATAAATTCTTACGTCTAGGATCAATAAGGACTAAGACTTACCTAAAAAATCTTCAATCTTCTCTGTAAAAGGCACGAAACCGCAGAAAACAGCACGCAATCCAAGAGCGAAAGAAAAGCACGTCCGACAGCAACGAGAAACACAATCGAACTGCGATTCGTCATGTGTGACGTATTTCGAACAAACGTTAAAAAACGCGTCAACAATGTTCGAATTTCGTAAAAATTAGAATTTTTAAAAAAAATCAATTTTTAAAATTTTTTTCAATTAATTAATTTATAATTATTTTTCTTTTTTAAATTTGATAAATAAATTATCTTCTGCATTTACATGGTGCAGAATGTCGACCGTGGAGAGGTAAAAGACGATCTTTTTAAATTCTACGTCTCGAGGTTTGACCATCTCCGAAATTCGTCCGAATAAATATCTTTTTCGTCCATGGCATGAAATAAATCAGATTCTTAGGATTTCGCCCAATATTATTTCGCTTTGCGGAAAGATTCCTCGGTCGCCGCGGATTTCGCTTATTAATGCAACATGAAACTGGATAAAGTTAATAATATTAAAAATACCGAAAAACCTTTATAATACGGCCGAACGAAAATTAAGTCCGACACAGAGGATAAACAGACTGATCTAGGGAGAAACGACCATTCTTTCTCCTTGAATTTCTGACTTTTTAAAGGATCTCTCTCCCCACAGACTGGACTAGGGGGAAACGACCATTCTTTCTCCTTGAATTTCTGACTTTTTAAAGGATCTCTCTCCTAAATTCTTAATGTGATCGCTTAATCAATTTGACACGTGCGCAAGTGTTGATCCACCTTTGAAACTTTCGCTCGTACCTCTTATGCCATGATATTTTATTTCCTGACTTACAACGCGACAATTTTGCTTTGGCAGGAATGCTACATTTATTTCCAAATTTTGTCATTGTCGTCCGTCCGCATGTCTTAACCTAGAGAACGGAATTATATGAAATCCGAGACCAGATGTGGAAACTTTAGAGACAAAAGTCAGACAAAATTATTCCTAAATTTAATAGTCGTATTTTGCCATTCTGTACGGTTATTCCCAACGACTTATGACTACCAGACCCCGAACCGGGCCGCCATCTTTGAAGCGAATTGAACGCGCTTCCGCCATGATACTTATTTACTTTAACACTTTTAAAACCACACCTTGTACAAAAACATTTCAGACTAAAATTATATAAAACTCTGGCTCTTCCGACTCTCCTGTACGGAAGTGAAATCTGTTTGTTAGGTTATGGTAACGCAACACTTGGGCGATCTGCCTAGGGGAAATGCCTTCCGGGAGATCTTTTTAAGGGAAAGTGGATCCTATTTAGGCGTTACAGATGTGGAGAAAACCCGAAAATCTCCACGTGGCCAGTACGTCCGAGCGAGGTGCGAGCCCACGAACCGAACTCAGTGTTCGGGGTACGAAGACCGGTTGGTCACTGATGGGCCCAAATTACATTCGGAAAGGTTTTAATTTATATTCAGAAGTTGAGTTACATCATCAACTTTATGTGTTTTGAACATACTCGACCCACTTCTAGTCTGAATCCGAGTTTTGTGAATACCAAATTGTCGTATCGTACGAATGTTCGTCGTAAGTTGCGCTACGAACTTTCGTGAATTCGGGTCTTAATTTTTAAGAAATTTGGGGGATATCCCGGTAAATTTAATGGTTAAAAAACATGAGATCCCGGTAGAGAAACCATAGCTGTGACTGAATTTCATGATTTAAAGTTTAAAACATTCGTCATTTTCCTTCAAAACATACTGAACTGCATTGACAAGCCACTAATTTTCTCTTAAGTTCAGACGTAAATGGTACAATTTAACACTACTGCTGACAAATGACCCTTGAGAACAATTAATCCTCTCCTGCATCGGACGTCGAAACAAGATGAATACAGTACAGTCAACCCCCCCTATAACACTGTTGATTATTCCGTTTTATATGAATTCCATGTTGTAAGAGTCACTTAGATTTTACAAATACGTGTGCTGGGCTGTGAACTGCTCACATATTTGTAAAATCTAAGTGACTCGTACAACATAGAATTCATATAAAACGGAATTATCAACAGTGTTATTGGGGGCCGACCGGTACTTGTTTCATTGCGTCATACAGCCGTTCTACTCACGATTACAAGTTTTATTGTATCGAAGTATCTTATCCATAGGCAAATTTTGTTGTTATTACATTTGAATTTAATAAATAAATTGGTTTATAAAAATATTTCGAATTAAAAAATAATTTTTGGGCGAGTAAAATTTCCAGGTGGCGTTAATTGCACACCATTCAATTTCTCGTTAAAGCACCAGGTGAGACGTCCCAAAAATGTCCTCTCTCTCTAACTACACGTTTTATAGATATATTTAATTATTTTCCTACTTTTCTAATTTTAATTTATAATTAAAATTTAATTAGTTCGCATTTAGGAACGTTATTTAATCTAAAAAAGCCTTGTACATTGGAATTTTTGTTATTTTTGATGCTAACCTTTAAGTGAAAAGGTTAACGAACTGTTATTCTTAATGATTTTTCTGTCGCAAAAATCGATTTAATTAATTTAAGTGTAGCACTCCCATTCTGTAAGCTAACCTCATTCATCATTAAAGCATTAGGGCTCATGCTAAATGAATTTTAATGAAATAGCTCAGTTATAATGTAACTAATTATTTTTAGTGATTACATTTTAACTTTTTAAGGTGAAATAATATCATTTTAAGTAATACATAAAGTGCTGCAAAACATAATTTAAATCTACAATAAAGGAAATTAAATGTGCTCTTGCTAAGCGATGAATCGAGCGTGTGCGGGCCATCTGATCAAGCACCTTGCGTCCCTAGATTTTTCTCTGAAATTGTATCAAATCCATTGCTTAAAACTTCACCCATTAACCGTTGCTGCCCGTCCACGTATCGTGCCGGATACTTTTAAACACTTACGGCATCGTCTTGTCCTGCGAATGCGACAGAATGGATATCGAATTGAATATTTGTTTCCATAATTATTTAGCCAATAAGATTAAATCTGTGCAATGCCCATTAATGTATGTAGAAATTAGCATTAATTTTAATACATAAATGAGCATAATGTATGTATTAATTTTAACATTTTAATCCTTCTTTCTTTTCAGAATGTCATCCAAGAAACTTATGATAGTGGATACTGACTGCGGGATCGATGATGCGCTCGCTCTAGTTATGGTCCTCGGTCGTCCGGAATGGGAGATACTGGCCGTGACCTGTGTGGCCGGTAATGTTGAACTGCAAAAAGTCTGTCCAAATGTGTTAAGAGTTCTTAACCTCTGTGATAAAAAAGATGTAAGTAGAAATTTAAGATGTATCCATCAATGTGAAAGGAATAACATCAAACAGTGATGCCTTATAATATATTTTAGTTTAAAAGTATGGTAACTTGCAAACTATGATGTATATTTATCACAGTTTGCAAGTTATACTCTTAAATTATATGACATTATTCATACATTTTATGTATTTCCACTTATTTAAACTATTATGTTTGCATTAAATGAAAATTATTTCTTAAAATTAAATTTAAAAGCTCAATTATCACTACTAGATTTACAGATTAGAATTTAAAAAAAAAATAAAGATAAAAGTATTCAAAGTCTGGATCCATAAAATTAAGCAAATAAATGATGATAAATTTGTAGATAATAGCAAAAATGCATGAAAATCACTTTTTGGAGGGAATAAAAGCATTATTTAAGATAATATTTATCATTATCATAAATAAACATTTTAGTAACACAATTTTGCTTTTATGCATATAGATTTTATCTTATTTTATATATAAAATAAATTATCAGTGTGTAAGAAAGTACAAATTGATGTAAATGTGAGGTTTGATTTGTCGCAATTGTTTCTAGTATCTTTCGTGCATTGTGTTATTTAATAATTTAATATACATTTCAATGTAATCTATGGCAGTCTGAAATGAGAAAAAGATATTGAAATATCTTTTTCTCATTTCAGACTGGTAAAAATTATGGATATTTATTTGTGGCTATGAATTATACATACTTATTATGCTTATCTAGAATTACTGTACGTAACAAAGTGCATTTAGTAATTCTAGATTACTGATCAACTGCACCACACCAGTAAAGTCAAATATTTTTCTTTTTGTGGACTGGCAGTTAGGAAACTACAGAATGGAATGGAATGAACTATTTAGTAATCATATACATATTTGCACAATGGAATTTTGCATTAAAAGTTATAGAAATTGGTTTGAATTTAATTATATATCTTAGATTTTGATCCTAATGTAGTATATTCTTATAATTAACAGTAAATAAATCACCTATGCAATTCCATAGTCTGATGCACTTGATGTTGGCAATAGAAATATTCGATGCTTAATACGATATTTATCGTATTTATTCTTCTATGCTCATATTAAGTTTACAAGTCTTTGTATATTTTAATTGACAAAAGATTAGTTATGTTGTTTATTATATGATTTGTATTATTTCAAAAACTATGTATCAGGAGCCAGATTTAAACTTGTGATTCTAAGCTATAGCATTTCAGATATCCTTTCCCCTCCAAATAATACATTTAAAAGCATGATATTCCAAACTAAGCTTCATACTGTAAGACCCTGAGCTGTAGCTTCTTTAGTTTGTGTAAATCTGGCCCTGAATTCATGTTCAAAATTTTAATTTGTTACCTCTTGAATTAGTTTCATTTTGAATTTCTAAAACTGAAGACAATCTTAAATAAATCTTTTGAAGTGCTTTCTACACTATAAAGAAAAATAAAGATAATTAAAATATAAATATAATTTTAGCATTATCTTAATATACATTAATACTTATCTTTACTTTTATATTTTATATTTAGATAAAAGTATATAAAGGCTGTGATAAAGCTTTGGTCAACAATAATTTCAAAGCCTGTCAGCACCATCATATTGATGGATTCGGTGGAGTGGCTTCGGAATTTTCAATAGGCAATTTAAAGTTTGAAGAAACACCTCATGCTTCCATTGCTATTCTAGATTTGGTGAAGAAACATCCAAATGAAATAACTCTGGTTGCTCTGGGTCCGTTAACAAATTTAGCTCTATGTAATAGGTTAGATCCAAATTTTACAACATACATAAAACAATTAATTATTATGGGTGGAAATATTGATGGTAAGTAATAATGATGTTAAAGAATTTTTATAATAATTATAATATAATGTTTGTACATGTTCCAGCCAGAGGTAATATAATGAAGTGTAGCGAATTTAATTTTGCATTTGATCCGGAAGCCGCGCAGATGATAGTTACAGAAGCTGTGTGTCCTGTTAGAATTCTTCCCTGGGAAACTTGTTTTCGTCACTCTGTCCAATGGGTAATAAAATTTGTCTAAATAATAATAAGTATTTTATATAGAATTATGAAATAATTACTTTTAAACACATACAGGAATGGTTCGATAAATGGGTCCAAACAGACACTCCTAAAGGTCGCCTAGCACAGAAAATAACAGCTGAAGCATCATATCGTGTTCGTCACATTTTTGGGCGTACGGCATTTTGCTGTTGCGATTTACTGGCGATGGCAACGATCGTACAGCCAGAGATAATCAAAAAGCAGATAAAGCGCTGTGTCGAAGTCGAACTGCACGGCCAGCACACAAGAGGAATGATGTTGGTCGAAAGGAGGCCAGCAGCTTTAAAAGACTGTTTGTCTAATGTAGAGATTGTCAAAGAAGTTGACATGGAAAAATTAAAAACAATGTATACAGAAATGTTGGAACATTAATAAATTTTTAATTATATCTTATCATAATTAATGCAGAAATTTGTGAAGTGTTTTGAAGCAATTTATGAAAAGTTGTTTAAAATATTGTTTGATTAAGATACTACATTAATGTCTCTTTAAAAAAGGGGAAAACTTTTATATATTTTTGCACTTTATTAAATAAATGCACAGGATAAAGTCTGATATTGTTTTTGGATGTTAAGTTTTCAACAGGAAAATATCAAACTCTGAAATAAGATAAAATTAATTTATTGTTATTAATTAAAAATTTAATATACTAAAAATCAAGTAGAAAAATTATATTTTAAGAGTAACTACTATCTGCTATTTTTAGTAGTTTTTGATTGTTTCCACTCAATAGGTACTAAGAGGATGACTGGGTGGTGAAAGATGGAGCCTGACATATTCAGGACAGGCTGCGCATGAAAAATTTCCAGAATCTCACACTCAAATTCAATATGGGGTTTCCCAGAGTGGCAAGTCAGCATCTTAATCACCTCTGATGTTCATCCATCAAACTATCTGCCATTTATTAACAACAAATAGTAGTTACTTGGTGTAAACAAAATACTTTTAGGCTATTTGGAATAAATTTAATTAATTATAATTATTCATACAAATAAATCAAATTGTTACTTCAGTCATAGTTCAATCTGAAATGTTCAATATTGCTGCAATAGCATTTAATTTTCTCAGAGTCTACAGTGATGGAGGTACAAAAGTGAATGTTTAGTAGTTGTAGAAGTATCATATATTCTTCTAGAAGTATTTATTAATTATTTTTGATGTTCTAGCAATTTACATCAAAGTTAAATGAACTTCATTTATATAATCAAAATTAATAGCAAAATATAAAGCAGGATGGTTTACAACTTCTGATAATTTTGTGCGCCACTGTTTAACAGAAACAAAAACATGGGACTAACCATAATACTAGATTATTGAGGACTGGAAAGTTCTCTGGTATGATAAATTTCAATCCTTTCTGCATAATGTTGACGGAAAAGTTCGCATTTGGTAAAAGCCAAAAGTCTACAGACCCATTCTATGTGGCATTAACATGTGGGTGTTTGGTATTAGTCTTGGCATTCTTTAGGTTTCCTCATACTAATTGAGCCATTTTTGAACATCTCTGCAGACCAGGAAACTACTCCTAATTACTGCAGAATTGTCTATTGCTGACTACTGCAAAGGCCAATTCTAGCAGGCAATGCACAAGAGTTATTACAGACATCATGCAGAATCCATGCCACAATATATCTGATCTGTTCTAAGAACAAAAGGAGATTACACTCACTATGAAGTGGGTGTACCTAATAAATTAGTATCTCAGTGTATTTTGACACAGAAAATTTGAGTATTTCTTGCATACTACATATATTTTTATTGCAAGCTAACTTATGTCATCATTAATATCATCATATACAGCTAAATTACTCACAAAGAGTTCTTTTTCATACTTTAACAAATTATCTTCACTATTTTTATCCAAGTTTTTTAAAAATTTGTATAAAAATCTCAGTTCTATAATAATTATAAGAAAATTAATTATATGCCATATCTAATAGTAAAATTCAAGAACAGTAGTTTTGTTTATTAACTAAATAATGTATATAGAGTACTGTATAAAATACAGGTTATTCATAAGTCCTTCTGGTGTTTTGGCACTCGACAGTGTAATAATCAAAGCACACAGAACAGTTCATATCAATAAATAGAGAATCTCTTCAAATTTACCTTCTTATAATAATTGTTGACATGTATACATCGAATTTTACTGCTAGAAGCAGATGTGATAAAACACAGTAGAAAGCTTTTTGAGTTTTAGAATTTGTAAGTCTATTGTGACAGTTAAAGATTTTGCAATAAATATCACACACACACTGACAGACAAGGCAATTTGTGCATTGTACACTAAGTTTTGGCATACTAGCTGCCTGTGTGCTTTAAAATGGACAGGTCAGCTGGGACAGTTTGCTAAGAGGATCCAGCTTATACAAGAAAGTTTTGCTCAGAGTTCTTGGAAGTAAGCAAATCATGCCAGCTAAGAATTGCAGATCTTGCAACTAACAACGACCAAAGGAAGATTGTTTTACTAAGAAGTTAGTTTTTAGTGATGAGGCAACATTCTACATGTGTGACATGGCAAATAATCACAAAATACATATTTGGGTATAGAATCTCCTCGTGTAATGGTGAAACATATCTGATCCCCTAAATTGAATGTTTTGTGCTATTTTCTCTTCCAACATCTACAGTCCACTTTTCTTTGCAGATCAAACTGTTTCTGGTATTGCATATCTAGACTTCATTTGTGGCATTAGTTACAATTGGAGTGTAGGTATATAATACAATAGCAAAGACTTCATTTTCAAACAACATGGCAAAGACTTCATAATTTTCACAATAGCAGACTTCATTTTCCAACAACATGGAGCTTTGCCATACTTTTCATTCAGATGTCTGCCATCACCTTAATGCTGAACTTCTTGGTTGTTGGATTGGACATGCTTCTCCCGACAACTCTCTCAAAGAACTCTTTGGCCTCCACTGTCACTCAACTTTTACTTATGGGGTTACATCAAAGATCATGTGTACATGCCCTCTATGCCACATGATCCTGCACACTTGTAAGAAAGAATCAGTCATGCAGTTGAAGAGACAGGGATATTGGGATGTGTGGCAGGAACTTGAATATAGGATTGATGTTCATCACATCACTAGATATGGAAATAGAGCACCTGGAAGGTATGGCCAAAACTTAGAGAGATTCTCTACTTATTGATATGAGTCATTCTGCTATGCTTGTTTCGGTTCTTATGCTATTGAGTGCTGAAACCCTGGAGGGACTTAAGAATAACTGTACATATATATTTTACAGTACTATAAATTAATATATTTTGGTTAAAGTATTATTTATATTATCTTGTGATTTAAAAATAAAGTTTTTGATGTTTCCCAAGTAAACAGAACTACAGCTATACATCAATAACCCTGCTGTTATATGATTACAAATAATATATCTATCTATACAATCATTGTGAATATATACAGTGTCAATATACTGCATTTCTAAACAATGTTTCTCTGACAAGAAGTTTCATGAGAAGAGAAGAAAATTCTCAAAGTTGAAATGTTTTCTCTAAAGTGACTGCTATAACTGAAATAATTTCATTTATTGCCATCATGTAGTGAAAAATCTTCAATTACAAGGTGAGCGGACGTATTTGTTATAAAAATGATTGGATGTTTAAGCTTTCCATCAATAAATACAGGTCCCACAGTGTATATCACAACAAATGTTCAGTTTACAGTTCACTTGGAAACAGCCTTAAATGGCAACATGCACAGTTTCTTGCAACCAGTATATGGAATTATGACTATTTATTTCACCATTTAAATTGAAAGATTCCTCATTGCTGAACATGATGTTGCAGGCTAGTTTATCTACCACCACTTTCTGATTCAAAATTCAATGCATGTGCATTGAATTTTGCCATGCAACTCTTGCACTAAGCTGGCATGTTGTGGATTCTTTTGGTGTTTTCTTCTATGCAAAATCCCCAAAACACTTTGTTTTGAGGATTTTGCATAGTCATTATTTTACCTCTGACACTATTTTTATCTTCCTGGCTGTTATATATAATAGAGGGAAAGCATGAAGATCAGTCAAAAAATAACCCTTAAGATATTTTCATTTTTGGACTTGAGACCTTGAAATGCCAAGAAATGCAAAAAATTTTGGGAATAATTTCTGTATGTATGGATGTTTGTGTGGGGGCAGAATTTTATTTACCCTCTTTAAAGCTTAATAACTCCTGTAATTTTTGTCAAAAGTTTCTGAAATTTTGCAAGAAGATTTGTTTATTAGAGAGATGCTATTAAATTTTGGTGATTGAAGGTTGAGGAATGGGGAGATAAAGGTGGTCATGTGTATCTTCAGTAGGGTCGGACTTAATGACAATTTTACATTTTATTAGCATTTATAATTTTTTTTATAAAACCCATCCCTAGCCTCAAAATTAAGCTTTTTGCCATTTTATAATAGTTAAAAATATAAAAAGTTTTTAATAATAAGATATCATAACAGATGGGGCCACCAAAATTTTAAAAGTTGCTGGGAAAGTTAAGCAACTTGTTGCTGGATTTTTTGACATAGCAGCATTAATTGCTACTATCTGAAATATCTTCTGGATCACATGGTTTATATTAGAAAATTATAATAAAATTTATATAATTATAAAAAAATTTACTGTTTAATATGCAAAAATAAAAAGAACATTCTTGGAAATAACAGACTCTTCTATTAATTTTTCCTTTATGAGAAACTGTAGTACATAAACATTTTAGTATTGTTGTATAGAAAATTTCTCTGTATGATGTAAATAAACTTTTAATATATTAATATTTCCTAGATAAGGAATTTTGTATATAAGTAAATTTATCAGGGCTTGACATTTCCAGTCACAAGTAACCAGAAAATTTTGTGTGTCTGTAATATTAATTAAAAAACATTGTTACTACCAGTACCAATACAAATTTTTTCCATAGGAACAAAATAGCAAAGCACATTTGGGACAATAGGATATTCATGTAAGTAACAGGAATTTCTGTTCACTTGTGCAGCCAATTATATTGATGTCAAATCCTTCAGTTTAACTCAAATTTTCCAATCTCCTATCTTATCTTACAATCAATAAAAACTTTCATCTGATTAACAATTGATTTTCTAAAATAAATCCCTATCATATTTATTCAACCTGCTTTATAGTCTTATTAATCTTAACTATTTTTCAGTACTTAAGGATAAAGGAAGGTTTATGTGGCATGCTTTTATATAAAATATCACAAACATGCTAGATTCAACTCATATTTAAGCATTATATAAAAGCATAAATGTTGTGAGATCATCCCATTGCCACTGGATACTGAAATTTCAGTATTACTGAAAATAATTAAGACTACTATAAAGCTAATATCAGCTTTATATTAGTCTTAATTAAAACTTTTGTTACTGGATGATCTGTAATAAGAGATCACTTTACTGTTTATTTTGTACATAAACTGATCTGTGTTTCAAGTAAGTTTTAGTGAAAAATTGTTATTCTTTTAATAGTATTTTTGTTCACACAACATTCAGATTTTCAATCTTACACACTTTTTAATATTTAAAAAAATTATATTACAGATAGATGACCAATTATCCTGTATCCTCTCAATTAAAATCTTTAAGTTCAACTTTATTTTAATCTTAGATATTATGTTTAGAGATGCATAACTTATTGATACATATCAATGTTTATTGGATATTACTGTTAAGTCTGAGAATACATCAATTAATTGATGTTTTCTCTGTAAATATGAACATAATTGTTTAAAAAAAAAAGCAGTTCAATAGTTTTTAATTGCAAACACATTAAATCTAAACTAGGAGGATGACTGCCAGAAAAATAAAATAGTGCAGTCAAAACTTGAGAATGTATGTATGGATGTTTTTGTGGGGGCACAATTTTGTTTACCCTCTTTAAATCTTAATAACTCCTGTGATACAGTCAAATTTTCTTTAGTTAAATGGCTGTCGGATAATTGGCCTTACCTGTAAATTTATAAATAAAAGTATAACAAAATTAATTATTTTAAAAATTGTGATTTAGTTTCAAGAAAAAGATTTTGGTGGAAAATGTCATATCACTATAATTGAATAATGCCTACCTCTGTGGAAATATGTTGAATGTTCCCCTTTCAATGTTTTCAACTTGATCTAATAATAATCAAAAGAAATAATTTACTGTTTATTTCAAGTATATATCAAAAATAGTATTAATAATTTTTTGGAAATTAGAACAAAGCTCAGGAAGGATGTGATATGTTTTTAATATATCACATCCTATGATATATACATAGTAGATGACTTCTTAAAAAGAATTATATTATAATATTCAAATATATAGTTTACTTTACTTAGTAACAGTTATTTCTTAAAAATACTTAAAAGTATCCCTATGTTTTTATTACTATTGATTTGAAATCAAAATTAAAACAAAGCTTTGTGTGCTAAAGATAATCTTCTGTTTTTTTATTATTTGTGACTGGCAGCTATGGAATACAATAAATTTATTTAAAATCACTTGCAAGTCAAATATAAGTACTATACAAACAAAATAAATGATATGTTGTATAATAAAGACTTTGTTAAACATATAAATAACACCTTATCTTTGCCGAGAAATATATTTATTTCAAAACAAACGTTTTGAAATAAATATATTTCTTGTTGGTAATTTGCTGAGTACTTTATGATAATAAAGGCTTTGTTATATGTTTTTTCTTTCATTAATTTTACACATTAATCATGTTGAAATTATTTGAAGAGAATTATATTTGCATGTAACAATTCAACATTACTACTCAAAAATATAACTTTTATAAGTTCTCCTTAAGTTAAAAGTTCTTAATAGACAAGATATTTGACAAATTTCAAACCCTGATACAAGTAACCCCTGTATAACACAGCACTTCTATAGCACGGATTCACTCTAACATGGTTCGAGAATTGGGAACATCCCCCGTATAACACAGTGCTTTTATAGCACGGGTTTACTCTAACACGGTTTGGGAATTGAGTAAAACCCTCATACAACATATAATGTAATAAAGGGTGCGTTCTTTTATACCTTCGCGCAAGCATTCTAATTGTTTTCGTGGCTACTTTGAATGCTCTTTCAACAAATAATCCATTTAATGGTTAAATTTTACAATTGGGACCCTTCTTTTGCCTCTAAAAGCTCATTTTAGAATTATAGATTCCTCCATCACGATACTATCGATAGTGCAGGCGCCGCCATCTTTCTTTCACCGTCGTTCCTAAATGCCTACAAACAGCAGCGCACTCCCGTTGCAGAGCGACCGCTATTAACGAACGCACCCAAAAACTGTTACCAGTTGATGATGCTCATGCTGAGATCATCATATAGGATGAATAATCCTCTGGTAAAATATTTACTTAAATAATAAATAAGTATTTTACCTATGAAAAAAATGAATAATAAATC